GAAATATGTAAAATATTAACTGGAGAAAATTGCAAGACACTGTTAAGAAGCCAGATGTGATTCCTTCAGCAACAGGGTATGCAGTCTCCACTGCCATCTCAAAAAACATGGGCACAGTTCCATTTGCAAAGAATCCTCCAATGATGAAGGTTAAGTAAAGTACAACCTTGTTGTAAGGGATGATTTTTGCACATATTAACGTAAATAGAGCAAATGATACTGTACAACCAAGCAAGAGGACAAACTGTATTACTTTCATGTGCCTGGATACGTGGTCTGCAAGTCTGCGGGAAAATGAAAGGATACCATTTCAGTTTTTAACCTGCTATCTCTGCCTAACTGCCTGGCGTGGATCAACTGGAAGTTTTTAAAACTAAAATTAAGTTTTCCCCGTTCTAACATTGCTTTACTTAGTCATTTCCCATCTTTCTTGGCAACAGTACTTTGATCTCCTAAATTAACTCACAGAAGTTTTGATAGTTTTTGATTAATTTCCACTCATAAATTTAAGACACCTATAAAAAAAAATTTTTAAAACATGGTATCACAAATGGATATGCTACATATTCAGCTCGGGCTAGCAAAAATCAAACCTTCATTTTAAAATGTTACTTTTACAACTACTATAATTAACAATTATTTGCCAAAGTGGGGAGTGAATAGTGTTAGATATTTACCGAGCCATGAAGCAGTGAGGTAACTACCCACTGACCACTTACACTGACACTGAGGTGAGTATTTGTTTTAGCAAATACCACACAGATACAAAAAAAGTTAGTTTACTGATTTCTCTTGAAATATCAAAAAATGGTCAGAAATCAAACTCTTGACAGGTGAATAGTACTTGCTATTCAGTTCTGAACCAGGCAATCATTGCATGTTAAAGAGCACTCTTAACCGGTGTGGTATAATGATATAACTAGCTATTATTACCATTATTATTTTTATTTCTATCATACTAAATTTGAAATAAAAGAGAAAAAGTAAAGTGAATATTTAGATGTTGTAAATAACATGGATGCTTACATGGATAGAGAAATTCCTGACACTATTCCAGCCATTGAAGCACCAAATCCCAGCCAACCAGCAGATTTTTCTCCAATACCAAACTGTGACAGATTTAAGTCTAATATAGACACCCAGCCTACATAAACACCTATAGTTGCCCCATTTATAAACAGCAAAAGCCAAAACTGTTTATTTTTCATGAGTCGTCTGAAACCATCTTTAAAATCCAAACGATTGACTGCTGCTGTTAAACTGGGTGGCAGTTTAGGTTTGCTTGGAAAATACACCACAACTAGAAGCAAAGTCAATGCTGCTGCCCCCAATTCAATGTACATTAGTTGCATAATTTTCCCCTTGAGATACATTATCTGTTCATGAGTCATGTTGTTTCGCAATTTGATATAGTCAATGCTTTTACCAATTGAGCTGCTTTGATTTCCTACATCTGGAACTAACAGGGGCCCAATGATAAAGGAAAGCCCAGAACCAATATATGGAGCTAGTGATGCTAATGCAGTTGACGTTGTGCGCTGGTGTGGAGGAAACCAGGCAGCAGATATTATTGGACCTGATGCCATAGCAATTGGTCCTCCAATGCTGTTGAAGGCAACCCCAGTGTGAGTTAACCAGGTCTGAATTTGCAGGTTATCCAACGGAATAGCCTGACATACTGCTCCTATGACATTAACAACTCCCAAGAGGAGTGTTGATGCTCTTACACCTGAAGGTCGTGGATAATAATAATAGTTGATATATGCTTGGTTGATATATTATTTCAACATGAAGACTTTAAACTTTTACTCTAAACCAAATACACAATTGAGAAATGGAGAAAAAAAATAGTTTGAACTGTTGTTACATAGGCAAAGATGTTTTTTTGTCTATGATGAGTGTGGGATGGAGAAAAAAATCTGAGTGAGGAATCCAACCTCAGCCCATGGATTCTGTGCTCCTATCCTCTACCAATGAGCCACAGAGACTCTACCATAATCAAGGCTGCATGCTCCTTGCATACATCTAGGATTAGCATAAGTGATTAAAGTGTCCTGCATGTACAGGCTTTCAAAGATGGCAAATCTTTTTATAACCATGTTTCTTAACCTATTTACAGATATGTTACACGTCCATGACTAGTCATAAGTCACTCATGTGATTTATCACGCAATCTGATTTAGCCGATTATATCTAAGCAACCTAGCATAAATTATGCACAATAGCACCATCAAATGATGTAAACGGTCAACTCTCTCCAGCATGAACACCCAGATACCAAACCCTAATGTCCATCTAGAAACACCTTGTGTACAATCGATTCAACGTGACACCACGTAGTTCTTTGATAAAGCTATACCTATATGCCAAAATATCAGTTTTAAGACTGCTGAAGTCTTATGCCTTGGCATAACTAAACTGAAAGCCTGAACAAAATTACAAAATTTATGAAGAGGAGCAGAATTATGTTTACGAACCTCCTCATAAGATACGAGCTGCCAACATCTAATTTAAGACAAGGAGTTGCATTACTTTGTTATGTAATCTAAATTTGCCCCCCGATGAAATAACCATTTTTTGTCAATTTCAGCATCACCAATTTACTATTGAGAAGTTTCCCTCTATAAGAAAAGGACTTTTCAAGTGGGTGTTGATGATTCGAAAGTGTCCATTGCCCGTCTACCCGGAGAGATGCTTATCTTTTTTGAAAGGAGAGTTTAGTTAAGAGTACAATAACTCGATCGTTAACAGCTGGGATTAACTCGTGGAGTCCTTCTCAAAGAGATGTAAGTCTTATTGAGGTGTCCGTTAAGAGAGTGATAATTATAAATTGAAGCATACAACATAATGAAACATAAGTGTTTTCTACCTTTCGCATCCATTAGCCATGACAGTGGTAAAAACATAACGATGAAAACAATCGGACCCCACGCAACAAGTAAAGTGATGGTCGCATCGCTCCAGCCAAAGACAACTTGTGAGGTTCCCTGAATCGGGCTCCAAGTGTTCCATTTTGCACCATTCAACGCAGAACATAGAAAAAACATGAAAAGTATATACCACCTCTTCTTGTAGACTTTAAAATTCTGTCGATTTATTGGATCTATCGAGTCACGTCGAAGATCGATCCGTGAGGAATTGATCAGTACATTCGTCTCATCCCGCAGATCCATTATAATTCTTTGGACCTTCTTTCGCGGAGTAGCTTTGAAATATTTACCTCAATAGTTAAAAGTGAAAAATAAATAAGAAGACCCTTTAAGCCCTTGAGTTGAACCACTAACGTTCGACCGGCAAATCACGGGTATAGAATGTGTGACAACTATACAAATACTGCATAAAAGCGTTGCGTGACGCAAACAAAGCCTTTTGAAATGTTCCCCGAAAAAACAGCTGTGATGGAGGCGGAGCGTATTCATCACGTGCCAGTCTTCTAACTCTGCTAATGGGCTAATAAAAACATGCATGTTTTAAAAAGGAACTGGCTTCAAAAGCTTCCACTGGGATGACTCCACCTCCTATAAAGACTCTACCGTTTTTCTGTTTGAGAGAACAATCTATACGGAGGTTAAACTTAAAACTTCGTCGGCCGGAATTCCCTCTGATATAGAAAACGGACTCTTTCTTGACCGCCAAATAACGTCGAAGTTACGGAAGTAACGCCCGATGCAAACATAACAAGTTTACTAAATCTTCTTATCAGTGATAGCTTATGTCCTCCAAATTTAGTGAGAAAGAATTATCTTATTGTTTTAGTTTGAATCTACCAGTATTTGAAACAAAAAGGAATCTGTTAGGTTAGTCTGTATCAGTATATTTGTATCTCCTTGCGTTTTACCACAAAAGGTGCGATCTGATTGGTTGCACTGCTCGCTATCTATTCCGTGATATACGGTGAGTTGGTGAGTAGCCTAACAACAAAACAGAATAAAAACACGAGCCTGTCCTGTTGCTACGGTTCAACGTGATAAATGGGTCGGACTTAACCCTCATCAACTACATCGCCACAGAAATCTCATGCTCACTACTTCAAAGTTAAGTAGAAGGTTAGAAATCCTATCCACCATCCTCAGTTAAAAAAATTATTACCAGTTTACAAGATAAAGGTTTCATTGACAAGGGAAACAGGGCTAGAGAGAAAAGGTATCGAAACTTATTAGCAGAAGAACATTTTTTTCATACAAAGCGGCCTCACAATCTAAATAAGATCACGAATTCATACTGCATCGTCATCCACAACTATCGGTTTCCATCTTTTACCTGAGTTTTAGGTAATACTAAATTTCCTCACCAAAGAGGCTCCAAGCGTACCATACAGCGCAAACGAACTAGTCCGTGCGGCCTTTCCTTGCAGAGGTATATCCATCTATCATTACAATCTCCAGCAATCAAAATATTTGTATTACGGCTTCAACAAAAAGACAGCGACAAGAAAATGAACGTGCGAAGAACTTTAATTTCAATTTTCCTCGACTTTACATAAACATTTCTACAATTTCCTTGAGTTTTGCCAGACCTCAAAAATTTCTTAAAAATTACCATTCCGACTCCTGGCGACAAGGCCAAAGCATTGTGTTCAAATGTCTTAGGGAGTCTATCGCCGTTTGCATATCAGGTCATTTTCTTTTCTTTCCCTTCTTTCCTGTTTGTTCTTCCCGAAGTTTCGCATTCTTGTTACGGTTCTTGTTTTTCACATTCACTGTCTCGTAGTAACGAACACCAATCTTCTGTTTGTTTGTTTTCAGACGCGGTGCCTAAATGAAAACAAAAGAACAGTCACACCTTAACAGTTAAATTCATATTCTCCACACTTTCCTACGTTACCGTCAAAGAGAATTTGTTTGACAATCAGGAGCTTCGTGAATTGGTGATTATATCCCTAATTCTATACCTTTAATTTGATTCAAGGGTGATATTGTATGGAGAAATTAGACTCTAAGTGGGGTAAAGGCTTAAAAGACTCCTTTGCAGTGAGGATATTTCACTGACTATGACACAGCCTAGTTACAAGCAATCTACCTTCATTTATTCAACGACCCAGCTGAAAATGTATGATCGCACAACGCCCTCGAAATTATTCATATGAACAGGAGAAGAACGTCAATGTTCAATTTTACCTTTGGTTTGGGCGATTCATCACCTTCGCTGTCGTCGTCACTTTTGCGTTTGCCACGTCTTCTATCAGTGCCTCTAGAATCTGTTGAATACGTAGCAAATAAATAATAAGCGTTAATGAGAAAAGAGAACGACAACGAGGAAATTAAAAAAAGGAAAAACAGTACTCGCACTGGTTGGGTATCAACCAACGCAAATTTTACAAGGATTTCTCCGCGCGAATGTCTTGTGTGGGTTAAGCTCCGTGTTCGTTTTAGAACCATCCAGATTCTTCCTTTTCAGCAGTAAGACTAGCAACTATTAGAAGGTTGCAAAAAAGGTATTTTAATGATTTGCAAATATTGATCGGTGAGGAATCCCGGGGATTTGAGCGGGAATCGTGACAACGGCGCTGCGCAGTGGTTTAACGTGCTGTTTGAAATCTGAAGTCTCACTCTATTGAATTTTTTTCTCGGTTGTCCTGAGCTTACCTTCTCCGTACAGTTACGCCAACTAAAAAAGGCCACGTAAGGCTACTATTACAGTTGCTAGGGTTACCATTGACGATAAACATACCGTTTAAACGTAATGAACACGACGCAGTAAGCTGGATCTATTTTCTATTGAGGGTCGAAAGCAATCGGGGTGTACATTAGTTTTTGCTTTACGATAGCCTTTGTTTTCTCTAAAAACCCACGTGACCGTCTCAACCAATCAGATGCAAAGTCAAAACTTGCCGCGTCCAATCGTCTCATGTTTTCCAGCAGTGCACTCTATTTCACTCCCAGTGGCTCCTTTTCATAGATCCTTTGTTGTGATTGGTCGTTGCAATAACTTTGGACACGCCCAGTATGATTTCAAAAGTGTGCTACCTCTTACCTATTTTCGTACCCTTCCTGGTGGCTTTTGTTTCTCTTGTTGCTTTTAACAATCTGTCCGGACGCGCTCGTGGAGTGTTATTTACATTCTGTTCCTTGCCAAGTTGTTTGTTAGTGCCGTTCTCGCTTCCTTCCGCTTCAACACAAGCGACGTACGGGCTTACCCTAACAGAGAATTGCTGATCAGTGGGCGTAGTCCACTCCTGTGCCCGGCGAGAGGGTAATTTTTCTACACCTGGCAAACAAAACATTAAAAAAAAGAAAACAAACAAAACATAGTTCGTTATCCACGGTGTGACTTTCCAGGGAGGGGACTGAGGTTTCATCAACTTCTAGTTGAAAATTTACTTACACTTTCCTTTTTGGGCGTCGCCCAACAGATTTCTGTCGCTAAGTCTATCGCTCGTTTACCTTTGATATCCTTTTCGAATCATCAGCGCATAAAAAAGCAGAAAAAAAGACTGCACTTTACGCACAAAAAACTGTCTGATCTCTGCCTGATCTCAGGTGCCTCCGCAAATATCACCACTTTCTGAAAAATCGATTGCCCACTTGAGTTTTTGATAGGTTGTAAGTTTAACCTGACCATCAACTTATCACAAAAGACTTACCTTGTAACTTTTTGAATTTTTCGAGCAGTCTCTGTTTCCTTTTTTCAGTCTCCTTGTCTAACGTGATTGTCGACTCTTTCAAAGGACCAGGCCTTTCTTCTGATTCTTCTTTATTGTCCGACGATTCATCATCATTTTCTACACTGTCACTATGACTATCCTCGTTACACTCGTCCATTCTGGTATTCACATTACTCTCAAGTGGTCGCTGTTTTTTATTTTTTCCTTGTTCGTCCTCTTGCTCTTCTTCTTCTTCCGTTTCATCATCCTCTTCGCTTCCAAGCTCCTCCTCTCTGAAAATCGGACACAAATAATGACCAAGTATAACTCCATAAATTAATCACTTTTTTTTCTTTTTCATTCAGTTTCCCCATTTCAAAGACTCTGGGATTTCAAGAGGAAGATTGAAGCGGGAGCTACCATGCGAGAGAGTTTGGAGTGGATGTCTATCTGGATGTCTATGAGAGGCGAGTAAAAGCTGAAAAATTTACAATTGCTTCCGAAAAAGCTTTCTGACATTAACTCCCCTTCCCTTCCATGTTTAACGCTCTGAAGGACTAGATCAATGTTTGTGGCATTTGAAAAGCGTAGCCTTGATATTTCAAGTTTGGAATTAGTGATACGTTGAAATATTCTCCATTCTCATTCTTTTTATAATCCTTCCTGGTTTATAAATGCCTCTTATAGAGCTTTGATTCGATGTCTACTTAACGCTGCAGGCATTTTGCACGTCGAATAAATTAATTAAAAATACTCTGTAATGTCTTAACTCCTTCAATTGTACTTTTGGCTCTCTAACGCTGTGTTCACTTTAACTTCGATTAGCCTGATGTACATCTGGTACATGAGGTTAATATTTCCCATACGATATTGACAAGTTTCTCGCTGCTCAGTGAGTGGAACATCTCACCGCACCGTGTTGCGGCACGTGGTCAGGGTTCGAACCCTGGCGCGGGGAATGTTGGGTGTTTTTTTTTTCTTTTTTTGTTTCTCTTATCATATCGATCTTCTTTATCAAAGTTGACCAGTAAATACTCACTCGTATTTCCCGTAGGCTGCTCTGACGTCATCTCCCTCTTCATCCTCCCTCATATCCTCCTCCTCCTCTTCTTTTTTTCTTCTTCTTCTTCTTCTTCAACTTCCTCTTCTTCCTCTTCTTCACTTTCATCCTCAAATTCAGGATTTCCATCAGGTTCCTTCCCTTCTTCCAAGGGCTGCACATCGTCGCCAGTATATTCAGGTCCAACGTTAATGGCACTGAAATCCTGTTTCACATGTAACTTTATATTCTTTGACTTCTGAACACAGTCGTCATTGATCGCTGTATTCTCGCCAGACTTAATTTTTGCGGTCTCAGACGAACACCTTTCCTGAGTTTTATTTGAATCGTTTGTCTCAACAGCTGTTTGTGCCTCAGCCAATGGGTCCGTTGGTGAGTTATGTTCTTCGCCAACTGAAAGGCTGCCGTTTTGAGAAGTTTTTTCTTTGCCTTGCTTGGTGTTTTCTCTTCTCGTTTCCTTCTCAGCTAGTTCTTCTTTCTTATCCTTAGCCTCAGTGTCTGCTTCTTTAACAAAACTTTCTTCAAGTGGTGGAAATCGAGACGATGTTTTCTTTTCATTCTTCGTTTCTTCTGAGTTAGATTCTCCTTCCTGCGAAAAGTAAAAATGACTGAGGGATCTTTAACAAACTAAAAACTACGAGAGCGTGAAATAGCCGAAGACAGACTTATTACAGTGTTCTTTTTTTCTGTACGGGACAAGGGTTTTGAACAAGAAGAGACCTTGACGAGAGGGGTGTGGAGAAAATGACTGGCCCTTACCTCATGCATCATAAAATGCCTCTGGAACACACAAAAAAGCTTTGTTCCCACTCGATTCCGCCCTTTTTTTAGGGCGGAAAATGCACCATATCAATAATTATGCCTTGACACCAAAAACAATTGTGATATTTTTAAGCAATTAATTATTGTTTAACTCGTCGGCCAGTGCATTAGGAAAGCTGATTCGATTCATAGAGAAAATGGTAAAGAGATTTACGACTTTCAATTTTTCCGTGTGCGAGTCCAGCTAATTCAGGAGGCAGCACGAGGTGTTGCACCACCATGCCTTCGACATTAGATTAGCTTCAGACTTTTTACTTCCCTCGCCGATGAGAAAAGGAAAGGAAAAAAACTTTTTACCTACCTTATTTGGTGGTGCAACAAAGTATGGCAGCTTCCCACGTTGGAAATCATTCAAAATCATTTTGGCCACTGTATTGACATCAGCTTCGCCACCCTGAGGAGAAAGGAATTGAAAATGGACCAACTTTCAAGCGGAAGAAAGAGAAATGAAATTAACGTCTCTTTCATGAGGCAAGGGGCAACGTCTGCAACCGAATCTAAATTTCACAGCTGCCGAAACAATCGCCTTTTCAGTGCCATTCAGCGCCTGGATCTATTGCTTCTTCCTCAAGATACGATGGTTGTTCATCAAGATTAATTCCACGCACTTCGTCAGGTTTCCCCAGCAGGGTATCCATTTGTACGCAGACGTAATGAAAGAGCACAGTGTCACCCAACTGAGCCTCAAACCTGAAACTTTCAATCTGGATTTCAGCGCAAAAACCACCCAGCTACAGCTTATCTTACGACGTCCGTGTAAAAGATGTTTCTTACCTTGAGAAGCTTGCCAGTTCGTTGCGCAACTTGTTCCAGAAAGTCTGTTGGATCGTTCCACGATGATACTTTGTAAGTCTTCGCGATGTACTCCTGCTTGACCCGTTCCAGTACAACGGGGATGTGGCAGGCTGCGTCTTTCACATTCTCAACACGAACCTGGTGATCAAGAACATGAAATCCGCATATAGTTTGAGTCACACTATGTTAGTGTATAAACTGCTTGCCACAAAATAATGAAGGACTAAGTTTAAAAATTTCCACTGGATTCAGGTTTCCGGGGCTAGCTAAGTGGCCAAATTTCATGACAATCAGAGATATTCAAATATCTATAAAGAGCATAGGGACATTTGATGTGAGATTCGACCCTCAAACCTCAGACTTGCGGACATACGCTCAATATATTAAACTAAAGAGAACTTGCTGCAGCCCACAACCAGAAAATACATGTAGATTCATATAGCTGACAAGTGTTCTGCACACTGCCAGGATCAGTATTATTTTCAGTGCAGATAATTCTAAGAACACCCAAAGCACTCACGCACACAGGAGCACGTACCACATCGCAAACTACTAGCTCTATAAAGAGATTCCTTACCACGCCTTTAAGTATAATCTCAGTTTCCGAGTCACCACTTGGATACACGACTCCAGGGCAGTCAATTAGGTAGATTCGCCTCATCAGTGTCACGTACTGCCACACCTGCAAACAGTGGTCAAGGATGTGTCAGACAGCTCAAGGTGCTTTGCAACAAGGCTAAAATAGTCGCGAATAATCAGCAAATAAAGTCGAACCTCGAGTATCTTTACTGAGACACGATATTGTAAAAATCCCAATTACAGGCCCCCGGATAAATGACTTTATGGGTTTTTCCTGGAAAGAAACTAATCCAACGGAAAAGTCATATCAGGAGGATATACACTGTATTTCACTACAGAAACTTTACCACTGACTCAACCAACCCGTCATCGGAAATCATTCTCACTTTGACCTCAGAACTGTAATCCATAAAACTAAACGTTTCGCACATTTACATCAACACTATAAAAATGTAAAAAAAAAAAAAAGGAAAAATAAAAATTAATTTTTACCTTGGTTTCCCCAGCAATTGGTGCCACGTTACAGACTTTCTTGGCTCTCAGTGTGTTTATGATGGAACTCTTCCCGACATTAGGGTAACCAATAACGCCAACACTTCAAAAGAAAACAATTTACAGACATAAACCAAAGGCAGAATGCCACTTCTCTTCCTCCCCCCCCCCCACCTCTTTCTTCGGGTATGGAAAAGTAATTATAAAAAAAAAAATTGTAGTTTAAATTTAGAGCGAACATTTGCTCGGATATCTTTCCGCGTAAATCATCTATTCCTCGAAGTGAGCAGACAGAAAAACAGTCCGATACCTTTTTTTTTTGAAGATATGCTCTTTCGGTCTACGTCTATCTGCTATTAATTGAAAAATATTTACAAACGTTGGAGGTTACAACTAACCTTATTTGCTTCTTGTCAGTGTGAAGCTGTGAAAGAGAAAAAAAGTATAAAATTAAAAAAACCGGGAAATGCACATTTTAAACCAAAGCTATCGGTCGTTTTTTTTCAAGTGAACTTTCCGCCAAGGGCTGTCTCACCCTGTATTAAAGTCGTTTCCCCCAGAGTTGAAGCACAATTACATGTAAGTCCCAGGCAATTTACGCTATTTCATCATTTTTTTATCCTCGAGAAACTGCTCAAGCTTGAAGGAAATCCCTTGCGTTATGGGAATTCAAGTGAAGGTTTCAAGAATCTAAGATCAATTAGTATAACAATGGTAACGAGAATGAAAGTTTCATTGTCTTAAGTGCTGAAATTTGACACATAACATCTCAAAATTAGTTTAACATCTTCCTTTATTCAACAACCGAGTTCCAAATTAACCACAATATACCGTCATCAATCTAACAAAAAACTTATCAAAACATTCCATATACCTTGGCAAACTGTCTGAGTAGGTTGATCAGAGCCCCTTTGCCAAATGGATTTGTAACACTTGCATGGAAGGCAAGAGTAGGATGATCTGCAGACAGGACTGTCACCCATCTTTGCTTTACATAACAAATAGACATAACGAAAATATATCATAAAACACCAGCAGCATCAAAACCACATCAAGACACTCTAGCCTCCCGTTTAAGCGAGAATATGCTGGGATATTTCTCCATGAACGTTATCTGTTTCGAGAAGGAAACAGTTTTCCAAGGAACAGAGAATTATCCGAGCATACTTTCCCGCCAAATGGGAGTCATCGAGATTGTCATTCCACGAAAATACTTTGCAACGCGGGAGACAAAACGCTTAGCAAAAGCTTTCCGTTTACGTGTACGACATGGAATGTTGAGTTTTCAGTTGGTTTACTTTTCCGTAACACCAGCTGAAAGCTCCCCCTTCTTACATTTAAGTCTCAAGGAAGCTTTTTGGACGCTAGGTTTTCAACTTCGGGAATATCACTCTACAAATATCACCGGATATTTCCCAGTTTTCTGGAGATACCTTTGATCACAAGTGAAAAGAGGTGAAGCGGGAGAATGGTCTGCATGAAATAATAAAAATTTTCTCCCATTCAGTTTTTGCTCCAATATCATCATGAAACAGTAAAACCGCAAAAGATTTTCTGTGACAACCAAACTAACTCGATCTCAAAGAAGACTGTAAGATATTGGTTCAGTAGGGTGGTGAAACACATGAGACAAGGAGAGCAAACAATCGCGAGGATAAAAATGGTTTCTATTTGTCACGAGGCACAAATTGCACCTGCGTGTACACGCTGACCACATAGTTTGTTACTTACCGTTACCCAGGTTGGCACAAGATCACACTTGTTCAAAACAAAAATAAGATGTTTGTGCTGTTTCTCTTTCTTCATGAAGGACTCAATATGAGTTGAACGTGTTCCCATGGGATCACGAGCATCTAGTACCTAAAATGAAAGCCCAAATAACCTTATGTATAAAAATATTACTTTGCTTTCAGAGGGCTCACGATTTTACATGTACAGTTAACTCCTGATGCCTCGATCACACGTTAACTCAAACCTGGTGCTAAATAAATTTCTAGAGTGGTCTAGCCGTAATCGGGCATCCATGCAGCAATCAAAGCGAGTACAAATAGCCTGGCTTTTTTCGAAATAAGGTGGCTATGACGTATTTCCGTTAGTACACGGTATTACACAGAATACCACGCTCTCTTTAGGGTATCACGTTTAGAAAGATACCGGGTTCAAATACTAATCCTTACCCTAACTATACTTCATGTCATACCACCTCCTATTAGTCCAATATGTGCTTTGTAATTCTTACATCGTTACAAAAGGAAGCCACGACCAGACAAAGAGACACCACCCTTTTTCTATTTTCAGTTCTTCACAACAACACGCATAGTTTCTAAGAACATGACGCTTTTACTACCGTGCTTACAGATCTACAAGAACTTTTTTGAAGAATGAAAAAAAAAAAAAACAAAAAAAAAACTGGGCATGATAGCATTCAGAAAAATGCCAATGCTGGACAACGTGCAAACCCTCTAAGGCAGTTAATCCCGAAGACTCAAAAAAAACGTTGCCTCTGTAAATGGTGTGAATAAAGGCATTTGGGATGATTCTTCAGTAAATCTTCTTAGTTTTAAACACAAAGTATATGTAGCACTAACTTAGAACTTTCACATGTTTTGACTATGATAATTGATCAGTCTGCCCCCCCCCTTTAAGCAGAAAATACTTTGCAGTAACATTATATGACATCTCAATAGTTTGAGGTTTTTACATACCTGTATGACAACGTCAGATGAATCTATGACCTGAAAAACACATAAATAAACAAATTAAAAGTATTATAGGGGCTTAGCACTTGACTTTGAAGTTTGGAAAGAATTTAAAATTATTATCAATATGGAGCTCTACTGCCATTGTCCAAAGCAAGAGAAATAAGTCAGACTAGTCATAGACAAGTATAACTTTTGAATTCTCAGTTTTCGGCTTAAAGTCCATACGTATGTAGACACTTTTGAGGTTGAAAAAGGACCATTCAGCTTGCATGAAATTTTGATGTAATGCATGGGTAAATTCCTAGAAAAGATGCAATGCCAAGCTGCGTTTCAGCTCAATACCCCTTGTTCTTTCTTTTTACCTTGTAAAGCTCATTCCAAATTCTTTTTGATTGTCCTTTTGTGAACAGTGATTCTTTAGCTTCCTCTCTGCGAGAAGGACATGAAAAATAATGATTCAACAAAGTAGGACATCAATTTAATTACGCACTCACACAAATAAATAAAACAAAAGACAAGTTACCAAAACAACAACGAAAAATTTCCATTTTTACAGACTGACATAGCTATAGTATACCAGTAATTACAAATGCAAATAAAACAATTGCTAACAAGTCACCCACTTGTCAACCAACACTGTGTGCTGAATCAAATTCATTCTGACTGTCTGCTGGGCATTGAACATTGAGAGGAGCATTTACAACTGTAAATTTTCATGTATATCATATGGAAGACAGTGTCAAAAATTTTAAACCTCCTTCTGTGAAGTACATGTATCAGGTATTTTTTTCCTTCTCTCACTATGATATAAAGTGATGCCTAGTTTCATTATTTTGCATGCACTTTCACCTCAGCTCTGATTTCCTTCCTCATAAATCAGAATTCGTACCCTTTTTCTGAAAGAAATATTTTAAGAACTTTCCCAGAACTTTTCCAGGACTCATAATGATTTTTCCAGGACTCCAGATTTCACCTGTAACTCTTTCATTCCTAAGATTTTGATGTCAGTTCTCCTTACAGTCTACATTTTCTTCTTACATGTATAACATAAATTCTGAAAACTTCATTGTTCAAGTTTAAGCAGATTCCCAGCAATTTCTAGGGCCTGTAGTCTCTTTCCAGGACTGGGAAGTCCTGGAAAATTGCAAAATAAAATTCCAGGACTCTCCAGGTTTTCCAAAACGTGTACAAACCCTGTATATTATAATTAGGATATGATACTGGTGGTCTTACATGTACAACAGCTTAACTGGTACTTCAAAATGTGTTTTAGAAGAAAATCTTGTTCAATGAAGCTTACCTTTCCCCATCATCTTCCCTAACAAGGTTCATATCTTTCTCTTCATCGTACATTTCTACAAAGTTTACAAAGGATGCATTCCACTTAGATTTCAAGAATTCAATGTTTACAACAACTATTCTTCTGAGAAAAAAAAAACAATCATCCAACAAACCCATAAAATTTGGCTGCCACATGTTTCCTTTGAAATTTTCAATGTGTAAGGCTAATAAAGGTATATCTGGCACAATAACTCCCATGAAGGGCCTTTCGAGGATCATTAACTACTAGTAGGCGATAAAATATGATAGTAAATAAAAATAATAAATTATGATAATTTCAGACAGTTTTTCTATTAATAATTACCTGATGACACCTGTGCAGCTTCCATAAAACCCTGAAGGAAAATAGAGACCAGAACTGTTCACTTTTAACACTTTTGTTTCATAACATCACTAAATTGTGATTCTTTCTTCTTTCTGTGAACACTCAAATGCTTACCTCTCAACCAAATGTAGATGCAAAACTCAAAACAATCTTGATTAAGTCACACCGATTTTTTTTTCACAATAATTGTTCATATGTTCTCATCTTTACTCTGAGTTCTCAAAAGTTTCTTGAAATAAGTTAATTCCTATGTTCTGATAATTTGGTTGTTGCAATTATTTTGGGTTTGGGTTTAGTAAAATGTACTCTATATCTCTTGTATAATTACAAAAAAAACAATTACTTATACTCATAGATTAGAGTTTCTCCCATAGAGCTGTGTTGTGGTTTAAAATGGATTCACTCTCATTTCATTAATTTTATCCATTTCTATTTTTTTAATTTCAGGGTCAGATAACTGGAACAGAGAAAAAGCAATTCAAACTATTTCAAAATCATTTGAACCTAAAATTCATTTGTTTTAGGCATTGTGGGTTGCCAAACACTGATACATGCTGGTAAATTTGAAAAGAAAAACCTTATGTGTTTAATTCCTTATGTCCCTGAAGTTGTATTAATTATGATCAAAATGCCTTCTTCATGATCTTACTGATGAAAAGACTAATGTCACCAACCTTCATATCAGCTGCCTTAAGGTTTGGTCTTTTGCGTTGTGCTTTGGGTCCAAAGGTCGTTCCGAAACTTTCTGTGTCCAGAATATGTACTCTGGCTGACTGTACCTTGTCATTCAACAAAGACAATGGCAGTTTACTTTGCCGCATCACAACCTGTTGGTAGTCACAGCAATATTATTTTAACCAACTGGGACAAGTAAGTTGATCTTTAACAAACATGCAATTAACTACAAGTGGGGCTTTTAACATTATGGCTGCTTATCTCAGCAGTGTTGCGGATGCTCGTCACATTTGAATCCTGCATTGGACCTACCTCGCCAATCAACTGAAAATTTACCATCTTCTCTCATCTTCACACAACATGCTCTCTCCCTAACCAACCCTAACTGAATATGAAACAATAGTGTCTTGTATGCGAACCTACAAGACCTGGCCTGCTATCACATCACCTGTACCTTGATTGGTAGAACATCTACATGTCACAAATCAGACCTGGCTAGGATTTCAAGTCCTCAAGTGGATATCATATATCTTTTTGTTCTACACAAATAACAAATGTACAACATCCATCTCAAATTCTGTAACATATTAACAGTACTGTATGAAACTAAGCTATTTACAACATGCCTTGTACGGATCATTGAGAACTTTTCCCATTTCATCTTGGAATGATTGCAAAGCATTTTGTGATATCACCCTTGTGTTTCCTGGTACAATAAATTAGATAAATAAAGAAGATTAAGGATTATTTTATTTATGTTTGACTTTTCTCTTAAATTCAATCATTTAATTTCTTAGTCATGAAACAGCTTAAAACCATTTATAATGAAAAAACTATAGCCAGGGGAAATTTTCCGCAAGAAGTAATTTGATCTTTAACATTACAAGTGTCATTAAGCTGCTAAACCTATGATATAAATTGCAGCTATTGTTATACCACACTTGTGGAACGTAAACATGTGAATTATGTTGTCATAATAAATAAATCCTTGTCCTCTGAAAAAAAAATTACTAGTACAATTAAACATTACAGTTATAATAACAACTATTGCAAAAATGATATAAAATAGTGTGGCTTAAAATTGTCTCTAAAGCTGGAAATTATGAGAGTGGACAACTTCCTAGAAAGAGCTAAGCAACAGGTGTGAACCAAGCACAGTGTTCATTAAAGAGTACAACCAAATGCTGCCTAGGTCCAGGTTCTTCAGTGGCAAATAGGAAAGAAATCAGGAAACAGGATCGAAACAAGGAAGGGAATGGTTATAATGGCAAAGAGTTTGAACTGATCCTCCATGCCACCAGTCCACCCTTACCCAATTAAACCATGAGCAAAATTTCAAAAAGTCAATTGATCCAACAAAGAGTTGCCATTATGGATCTTTCTTTGCTTTAAAAGCACCTGAAAGTAATCAGAGTGGTTCTGAACCTCTTAACTCAGGATGTGGTTTATGAAAAGGTCTTTTGAAACTTTCAAAGTTTGGTTCTTAACTTTTCAAACAAAGTTCTTTTCATGCTCTTTTTTGATCTTGTTTCCCAGTTATTCAGGTCACCCATCACTGAGTAACCTAAAACCAGTTTTCTATGATTGCCTGGTACTCCTCTAGCTGAAGGGAAGGGAGCTAAACAAGGAGAAGTAAGACTGAAACTTTCAGCTACTGTGTGGGAAAATCTTATACCATCTATGGATAAAAACACAGCCAGAATTTCTTAAAATGAGCTCAAAATGTTCGGAAATTCATTTGAGATGATGGGAAAAGTGAATCAGGTGGCTACCAATTTTAAGTCCAAAGCATGTAGAGCTAAATGTACTTACCAAACCATTTTCTGTTTGGAGCCACTCGTGCCACTTCTCCTGAAGCTACAGAGCTTTGAAAGGGAGCAGGCTTCACTATTTTTCCTTTCTTGTTCCTATTTAAGAAAAATCACAAAGGCAAAATTTATGTGGTGTCAAAAAAAAAAAAAACAAAACAAATTATATCAAAGGCAATGTAAAAAGTTGTGCATGATGGTGTAAAAAAATCTTAGAGTGGACATTAGAAAAAGATTTGTAATTTAACCCTTTAACTCCTTTAAGTGACCAAGGAAGAATTTCTCCATACTATGTCTACAATACCAAGCAGACAAGTGATGAGAATAAAGAAAAATATTAATCATGGGATTACTAATTGATCCAATATCATATTCTCCAAACTAAGATAATAAGAATCATTTGGCAAACAATAAGGAGAATTACTAATAAGATCTTGGGAGTTAAAGGGTTAAATTCCTTTTATTTAATCAGACCAACTTTTGAAATTTGAGTACAAAAAATGACCCACAAATAAATGTTTCACAAAAAGAAGAAGAGAGATTCAGCCTTGAGTTTGACTTAGACACATGAGCCCCTGGTACCAGAGTGGCACCCTATTAAATGAACCAAGTTCTAAAGAACACTGGAAGCTGCTATCTGCCAAAAAAATTGGTTGACAAATTCAAGTTGTAAGGTCACTTTCAAGGCAGTAGGAAAATGTAATTTAAAATGAACCTCCCATTCATGCATCATCACCTACAGGGTGCCAAATAGTTTTTCTTTCTTTAAAGTAAATGTTTCACCTAGTGTCCTTTCCAGTTAAATTAACTGTAACATGAACAGCAGTAGGCTTCAAGTCCTTCAGTTTCACTAAGAACAGTATGTTTAACCCTTTAACTCCAATGAGTGACCAAGACAGAATTTCTCTTTAAAATATCTATACAGTATCAACCAGATAAGTGATGAGAATAAAGAAAAAGATCAATTTGGGGATAATTAGTTGATCCAATGCCAAATTCTGTGAACTAACATTAAAAGAATTGTATTGTTGACAGTAAGGAGAATTACAAATTTGATCTGGGAGTTAAAGGGTTAAGAACCACCTTCACCTTTTGTACCACAAGATGTAGTGACACTCCTATGTTCAAACCATTTCCTGCCAGTATTAACTGGCTGTATTAACTAAGGTGAAACTGGGGTGAATGAATAAAAGGGGGTAAGTTTCTAAAGAAACTGTGGCGCTGTATTGGTAAGAGAGGGTAAAAGGGTAATTTAGTATTATCAACTGAATTGATGATGAAAATTGGCCATGTGAAAGAGTTGATGATGTTTCCAGTATAAGCCCTTTGTCAGAGCAATACAATCACTAACACTCAAAATGTCAGCTCTTTAACTCTTTACAGTGGCCAATTTATGTTATCAACTCAGTTGATAATACAAAATTACCCTGAAACTACGGTGCTTGTCTTGTTCATACAAGCACCTTTTTAGAGACCAACACTTGGTGCACTTAGGGAATCCTCCTTTACTGTATTTAAAAGTTGGCCTCATCAATACAAAATATAGAAAAATATTCCATAAAGGGATGGAGGATAATTGTTGTCAGCATGTGTTTTTATTGTGGAATGTACACACCTCACAGCCTTTCCTCCTGATTTGTACATCTTAAGCCTGTTAACTGTTGCTTTGTCTCTCATGTTTGAACCCACTGCTGGTTTTGGACGGTCTGTAAAATGTTCTTTGTTAAAATAGTTGAAGTGCACCATGCATGCCCTATGTTTCAATTTTTTCTTGGATTAAAATTTCTAAAACCAGTTTGACTCCTGTTTTTCTTCCTCTTATATCAATCATCATTGGATGAAATGAAGAAAACTAAAACTTTTCTTGGAATAAAATTCTCAAAATCGAGGGAAAACCACAGATCAATGTTATAACACAATAAATGCATGCGGAAAGAGGAAATATTCTGCAGACAAGGTACAAATCTTCCATAGTGAGTTTCACTGCTTCATAACTATTGTTTCCTTAACTGTACAGCAGCTGCACACTAACAGAATATTAATCCTTGTGACTGATTCAGTGGTGCCAATGAATGCAGTGCAATCTTTTTCTATAAGAACATTCAGGCTGACATGACACAAAATTGAAGAACCTGTCCAGGCTGAGAGTCAGTTAAGAACGACTTCATTTGGCCAGTTTTTTGTGTGAGAAGTATCAATAAAGGCAAAAGAAATATAAAACTGTGGTCTAGCAGAACAATTAACTCAAATACCAAGGAACATTTTTCTGACTGATTTATTGAGATACCAGACCACTCAACTCTAAGAACATTAAAAACGTTTTCAGGCTGACATCGCAGTAGAAAATAAGAACGTTCAGCCTTAGCAAAAATTGGACGTTCTTATTTATACATATATGTATATCTATGAGAATGTACAGTCATCTAAAAAACTACAAGTTATGTCCCGACTGCCCAATTGAAATCACAGACACAATGCAGACTTGTTGACCTCACGTTAGATAAGTTAAAATAGTATTGTAGACGAAAGACTCGCCTTTGAAATTCAGGCGACCGAATTCGGAAATAAAATTCCTACATTACACTGAGGAAAATTATACAGTAACCAAGACTTCATAACGAACGTAATCACCTGGGTTCATGCTGCTGTTGGATTTCTTGGCCGTTTTCTCTGGACCTGACTTTTTCCTTGTCTTCGCCATGTTAAACAGATATGTGCCTCAAATGTGTCGTCTGATAATTTCCTTACCGAGATATTAATCAAAATCTGAATAAATACAACGCACTACGCAGAACTTTATTCCATCCGCCATATTGACCACGTGCGACCTGGAAACTATAAACCAAAGTACTGTCCGGAGAGGGGTGAGTGGGAGAATTTTTGATAGCAAAAATGGCATAAAATTAATTCAGTTGTACCAACCCTTGTTTCTTAGAAAACTCTTCAAACTGACGATTGATCAATGAAAAACACTCAGTTCGCCTTTCATATCTATATTTCCTCCTTACCAGAGATTGGCGAAAAACGTTTTCGTGGCTACTCGCCAAAGTCGCTAATATTTCAAGGACTTTCCAGGGGGGCGAGAGGTAGACGTGGTGAGTAATAAAAGAAACGAAACCCGTCGGAGTCGTGGGTTCGACATGAAAAGAAGGGGAAAAGTAGCTCGTGGATGATATCTTTAGGTGACAACAATCTATTTAGACCCACATGGTGCAGATACAGAACACAGTATTGAGAATTTATAAAAGACAATTCGAGTTAATTCTTTCTGTTTCACGCTCCAGTTTTCCAATGACATCAATGACGTCATATAAGTAAATAAAGTGGATGCATAGTCAAGCTTAGGCCAAACCTCGATGTGTATTTGAGGGTCAAATATTCGTACCATTTGAAGCTCCTCCTCAACAGCTTCAAGCCTTTTCTTGTACAACATTAAGATAACAAAACTGCAAGTGGAATTTTGCAACTCTAAGGTGAGCTTTATCCTTGTTTATCAATCAAGTTTGCTAATGTTGTAGCAACAGGTGAGCCATATATTCAGCTTATGAAGTTGTTTTGAGTTTGCACCCAGTGTAGTTACAATGTTATTGTCTATCAGTCGAATTTTACAAGAATCGGATATCGACATTGAGTACTTTTCCGCTGGAAAATAATTCGCGCATATGGAGCTCAGTACACGGACTGTGTAGTGTCCAGAACAGAGATAAACGCATTAATACCAGAAATGTGATTACGTGAGCACTTTCGCTTTCAAACGATTAAAGGGGGCAAGTTTCAAAAGATTCTGCGGTGCTGTGTTGGCGTGGAGTATAACAAGATAATTTGGTTTCATCAACTAGGTTGATAAAGTAAATGGGCTTCCCGGTAAAGAATATCTAAAGCTGCTGTAAATTTAGCCGCTGATGGTGATGGAACTTATACATTAGAAACGAACACAACTTAATTTCACTTTGTGTAGCCTCAAGACTAAATTTAATTTGGTGTCAAAGGAGGTAACTCAGTGCAGCGAACAAAATCATTGATTAGAAAATTGGTGAAGAAAAGCACTGAAAAAGATTGCAAACAGGTTACATGTATCATACCTGCTTAAGTTACTTATTAGGGATATTTAAGTCGGCGGTAATTGTGAAGTGAACTCTGATAAGACCATGTCAAAAGTGATTTTAGTTTTGTATAAAATGTTTTGGTAAAATTGAGTGATTTATTTTTTTTTGCATGATCAGCAAACTTCCGATTCTCAGGCAAGGGAAACTTTTATGTAGTGGTATAAAACACACATAATTTCTGATCCTTCTAGAAATAGTTTTGTTTTGCCGAGAGGCGTATTGTTTCACGATAGGAGGTCGAAGGGCAGTGAGACTGAAGGAAAAACAAAACTGGATGTGTCGAAACGGGTCAGACATTATCTTAAGTGCTTTGGTAATAATACATTGAGAGGACCATAATAGTAAACAGGGAAACTGTAAATGAGCGTTCATCACTGTCTGTAACACTGCCAATGTATCACAAATACATCTCAAGATACGTATAAGCTTTGGAGAACCGACTTTTCTTTCTGATCTCTTCCTCTGATAAAATAGAAAAGCGCTTTTTTAGCCTCAGATTGCTCTATTCTGTTTTTCAAGAACTAGCGGAGAGCTGAGGACAAATTGTCTGGAATCAATGTGAAGTTAAGAGAAGATTGCTTCAAAAGCATATCTCGACATAGAGGTTTGACGGAATGAGTCCTTTCAACTATTGATTCAGGGATGACTCAGCATGACACAGCTACTTCTAGAACATTCTTGAAAGTCACAACAATCCGAACTAATTCTTTCACTTTCACGCTCCAGTTTTCCAATGAACATCAATGACGTCACATAAGAAAATAAAGTGGATGCATAGTCAAGCTTAGGCCAAACCTCGATGTGCATTTGAGAGTCAAACATTCGTACCATTTGAAGCTCCTCCTCAACAGCTTCAAGCCTTTTCTTGTACAACATTAAGATAAAAAAAACTGCAAGTAGAATTTTGCAACTCTAAGGTGAGCTTTATCCTTGTTTATCAATCAAGTTTGCTAATTTTGTTGCAGCAGGTGAGCCTTATATCAGCTTACGAAGTTGTTTTGAATTTGCACCAATGCAGTTACAATGTTATTGTTTATCAGTCGAATTTTACAAGAATCAGATATCGACATTGAGTACTTTTTTTCGCTGGAAAATAATTCGCGTATATGGAGCTCAGTACAGGGACTGTGTAGTGTCCAGAACAGAGATAAACGCATTAATACCAGAAATGTGATTACGTAAGCACTTTCGCTTTCAAACGATTAAAGGGGGCAAGTTTCAGAAGAAACTGCGGTGCTGTGTTGGCGTGGAGTATAACAAGATAATTTGGTTTCACCAACTAGGTTGATAAAGTAAATGGGCTTCCCGGTAAAGAATATCTAAAGCTGCTGTAAATTTAGCCGCTCATGGTGATGGAACTTATACAATAGAAACGAACACAACTTACTTTCACTTTGTGTAGCCTCAAGACCAAATTTAATTTGGTGTCAAAGGAGGCAACTCAGTGCAGCGAACAAAATCACTCGTTAGTATTTGATTAGAAAATTGGTGAAGAAAAGCACTGAAAAAGATTGCAAACAGGTTGCACGTATCATACCTGCTTAAGTTACTTATTAGGGATATTTAAGTCGGCGGTAATTTGTGAAGTGAAATCTGATAAGACCATGTCAAAAGTGATTTTAGTTTTGTATAAAATGTTTTGGTAAAATTGAGTGATTTTTTTTTTTTTGCATGATCAGCAAACTTCCGATTCTCAGGCAAGGGAAACTTTTATGTAATGGTATAAAACACACATAATTTCTGATCCTTCTAGAAATAGTTTTGTTTTTCCGAGAGGCGTATTGTTTCACGATAGGAGGTCGAAGGGCAGTGAGACTGAAGGAAAAAAAAAACTGGATGTGTCGAAACGGGTCAGACATTATCTTAAGTGCTTTGGTAATAATACATTGAGAGGACCATAATAGTAAACAAGGAAACTGTAAATGAGCGTTCATCACTGTCTGTAAAAGAATAACTTAATTTCTTGTGAACACTGCCAATGTATCACAAATACATCTTAAGATACGTATAAGCTTTGGAGAACCGACTTTTCTTTCTGATCTCTTCCTCTGATAAAATAGAAAAGCGCTTTTTTTAGCCTCAGGCTGCTCTATTCTGTTTTTCAAGAACTAGCGGAGAGCTGAGGACAAATTGTCTGGAATCAATGTGAAGTTAAGAGAAGATTGCTTCAAAAGCATATCTCGACATAGAGGTTTGACGGAATGAGTCCTTTCAACTATTGATTCAGGGATGACTCAGCATGACACAGCTACTTCTAGAACATTCTTGAAGGTCACAACAATCCGAACTAATTCTTTCACTTTCACGCTCCAGTTTTCCAATGAACATCAATGACGTCACATAAGAAAATAAAGTGGATGCATAGTCAAGCTTAGGCCAAACCTCGATGTGCATTTGAGAGTCAAACATTCGTACCATTTGAAGCTCCTCCTCAACAGCTTCAAGCCTTTTCTTGTACAACATTAAAGGGCATGTAAACCCAAAAAACTTTCATTTTCTTTTCACATAGATGTTTAGTAAATATATCAAGTACACCAAAGGTACCATTCGTTTATTCTCAAAAGTCCATTTTCACTTTGTAAAAGCTCTTCCAAATTCGAAACATTCGCCATCTTGAATGGCGCCATCTTTCCTGTGACGTCACGGGTGGACTCTCCAAAGTCTCGTTTTATAATCGCGTGAGGCACGAAGGAGTCTTTTCTACAGCCGTTGTTTGCTGGTCTCGTCATGATTTTTTTACTTACAGTTTGCTTCAATATATTCAATTTTTTCGTAATGGTGAAGCGTTGTGTCGTCCAGTTTTGTACTGATTCAAACAAAACTGGGCATACAATGCAAATATTTCCAAATGACGCAAATTTGAAGCGACAATTTGTGAAATTTGTTCAAGTGAAAATAGCCAATTTCGTAGAGCCGTTCGAACGTTCTGTTGTTTGTAGCAGTCATTTTTCTTCCTGGTGCTGTACCGACGATTCAGGCCTCACCAGAAGCAAATTATTCGGAAGTATAAAAACGACCCATACAGTCGGCAGACGACGAGGATTCGGAAGTGGCCGACCGAACTGAGAAAGAAGTTGAGCTCTTCAAAAGTTAGAGGTCAACAGAGAAAGTACAAAATCGATTTACATGAAAACGTTTCGTTAATTAAACAACAATAGCTTTATTGGTTCTCTAAAACATCTTTTTTTCTCATCTAATGAAATATTATGGGGAGCCAGTTGTTCGGGAGCCAGCGCTGAGCCCGTAAAAGACACTGACATGTCTGAACCTTTGCATGAATTCGAAACACGTATCAAAGAAAGAGAATTCGTTGATATCAGTGTGTAATAACGTGATCTGGAATTTTGTCGGTTCGATACAAAGAATTCTATACAGGATCCCATAATCAACCCTTATGTTCTATAAGAAAATCCAAGCCAGCCCCACTTGGTGCTTCCTTTGAGAAACCCTGCAGAGAAACATCAGAAAGAATTTGTGTCACGGTTTTCACAGCAGTGAAAATACATTCAAAGGTCAGTAGGACAATATTCATCATTTTGAGTACAACTTAAAAGATCCTGATTTCAGCTTGCAAAACTATCTTTTCAATATTTCAAATCGAAGCAAACACAAACAGGGTTGGATAATTATGAAGGCCACACAAGGAAATGTACATGATACAACTTGTTTATCGATGGAAATGCTTCTGAGATGAAGGATATTGTTTACCGCA